TTAATTTGTATCAATCAGGTCTTATTAACACCCAGTTGCAGCAAAATTAAACCTGCTTATTTGTTTAAGGATTCTATCGGACAAGCTTAAAAGATAACTAACCCACAGAATTTACCACATGCAGTTTGAAACAATAAAATAGTTGTTCAAAGATGTATTTTTGACCCATGAGCGGGTGGATGAGTTGATAGGAAACTCTTCTAGTTTAACTAGAGATCTTAGTTTCAAGTTTTAAGAATGCAGCTCCATTAAAACTCGTGAGGAAGAGCTTTGCCACCTGAGTCCTGCTCCACTCAAATCCAGATTAGTCGGTGGTCCACTGTACTTCCGGATACCGAGTGGTCCCAAAAAAAAAAAATATATATATATATATATATATATTTTTGGAGGTAGATATTCTACGTAAGCCTCCAAAAGGTGGTCTGAGTAACTCCATTAATGCTTTATAAGTCATGGGTTGATAGTGGCTCCAATAATGCATTCAAATGGCATAAGCAAAAATGTCAGTAGAAGTTAAAACAAAACAAACCTGACAAAGTCCAAGGGCACAAAAAAACTTGTTATGTTCCCAATCTTCCTTATCAAATGGATCTTCAATCAACACTATGGGGTAATCTATGATGCCAAAGAAGAAAAAGGAAGGCAGAAACATAAAATCATGGTTGAGAGTGATAAGTTTATGAATTGATTTTAATATATATTTTAAACATATACATTATATAAGGATTGGATTGGCGATAATTATGGATTGCAGATAATTATGATTTTAGTATATCTGAAATATATTTGAAATATCTGATATATCTGAAATATATTTGACATATCTGTACTTATCTCATAGAATTTCTTAGTTATTATTTAGTAGGATCTGTCAGCTGATTTAGCTGCCTTTTAATCTGAACTCATGTATATATGATGTATTGATCCTTTTCAAAGTAATATACAAAAATAGTATTCCATTCATAAACTTATCATGGTATCAGAGCATTCTTTCTTGCGTTTCTTTCTGTAAGTCATAAATCTATTTTTCCATATCATGTCAGCTGCCACAGAAAATGCAACTCCTCCTACAAGCACAACAAACATGGAGGCAGATCCATCATCTCCCTTTTATCTGCAATCCATAATTATCTCCAATAGAGAGAATGAATCAGACCTACTTGGAGAATAAAAACCATTAATGAAAAATTGACATACCACTGCACAGTTCTTTGTAAATCTGTATCATATCTTCTCCTGACTTGAAATTTTTCCCAGACCTACTTGGAGATTTAAACTCTAAATCATACTTTGTACCTTTATCAACAAGAGTGAAAAACAAAGCCCAGTTGTCATAAGCAAGCAATGTCCATGCAAGAAAGAACTTTGCAGCATTCAAAGTTGTACATAAATGCAAAACATATAACGGAGACTAGGGCAGAAGATCCTCTCCTCTTAATATCTAATGGTTTATGTTCAACAGCTGTTGAAGGATGACAAAAATGCATTTCTCAAATAACAGCTAAAAATACTACAGAAGTTTTCTCCAATGCTCCATCCCCTTTCTCACATTCTATAATTGCTAGTTGACTAATTTGCAGGAAATTATGCATCACTTATGCAGAACTCAGTAGCAGCAACATCAATCACTATCTTTATTCTGTCGTTGAAACCTGTTCTGCTGATAGCCTCTTTAACAAGATCCAATCCTTCTCTAACACTGCCAGCAAGGAAAAAATCATTTAGCAGTGCCAAATACCTCTTCAAATAAAATAAACTTCATTTCCTTTGTTCAATGGATTTTTAAAAGGGAAAGGAAAGGAGGGAGAGTGCCTGTATTCATGAATAACGTAGAAAATAAATGTGAGGCACCACTATACGATTAAGCACTTGCCTCGAAATATTTGGAGCCAGACCTCCAACTTCTCCAACATTACATCCACTAGCACCATATCTTTCTGTAATAACAGCCTGCC